TGCGCAGTGGTGTCGCCACCTCTCTTTCCTAACTGGATTAATCGCTCTGCTGCACGGAGCTGGGTTAAAAACCTGCACCTCCGGCTCCCTACACACATGTGCTACCTGTGCGAGCCAGACCGCTGGGACTGACCCGCTTGCTGCTTCTTGCAGGACAGAGCTGCCGTTTCGACCTGGGAAATTGTGGAAGGAGGGCAAGGAGAGCAGCAGGCTGAGAAGAAAAGCTGAGCCTTCATCCTTGGACTTGTTTTTTTTACTTCAGCTGCTTTGGCAACAGTTGTAAATACTGTGACTTTACAAATAAAATCCTTGGAACAGAATGGCTAATGAAGAGGGAATATAATCTGAGCAAAATGGTTGGTGCTACTACTAGGTAAATAAATACAGGATTCTCAGCAGGTGTGGACACAGCGCAGGTGGTAGAAGCACCCAAAACCCAGGGCAGCACTCGCCCCCTGTTGCGCTGAGCTGGTGCTGAGCACTGAAACACAGAGGCGAAAACTCAGGCCTGTCTTTAGGGGTGAAAAGGCTCAGTTCTGTGCCCACTGCTTTAAGCACTTGTGTTCCCCCCAGGTGTAGGAGGCCTTGAAGTGTTTCCTCATTGCAGTGTTGCTGGTTTGGTCCTGTGAAATCCCTAACCCTGAGGGGATGGTGTCCTGTCACCTGTAAGGCTGGGTGCTGAGACTGCCCTAGGGCTGGGAGTGGGGCACCCTCAGGATCCCCCCATCAGAACTGGGAAGGTAAACTCCAGGCTGCTTAGTTATTCCCTGTTCAGTTACCTTTTTTTCTTTTGCCATGTTTGTGTGTGTGGGGGGGGAAGCAGCCCCCTGGATGGTGTGGCTGTAGGTGGGTGGAGAGAGGCCTGCCTTACACATGAGGCTGAATTTATACAGGGCTTGTACTTACCTACTGGCTTGCTTTCTTTACATCAATTTATGAAAAGGTAGCAAAACCAAGCACGTGGGCTCATGCAGAAGGAATTTCATTTGCAAATACAGCTCACACAAGTAACTTGTTGAAAAGGATCACGGCTTCCTCTTGTATTGTTGAGAATAAAAAGCGATAGCTGTTTTTCTGCCCCCTCCCTTTCTGGTTATCTGCACTCCTAGGGAAGATGGAAGGGATGGGGGTGGGGGTGTCTTCATTGCTGCTGTTGGTATTTTAGATTTGCTAGTGGCTGTACTGTGCTGGTAAACTGAAGTTTCTGGTCAGCTGGGAACACACCAAACAGAGCACACACCATGGATTTGCTATTGGTTTTATTTCCTACCAAAAGAAAACTGCTACATTTCCAGAATGTTTAAAAATTGTAACAATTTGTATACATTGGTGAATAACAGAGTTACAACGTCGGTGTAGATTCAAAACCAACGCGGCTGGTTGGAATCTGTTCTGAGCTCTGTTAACTGATTGACTTCGCCTACAAATGCCACTTTGATTATAGTACCACTGATGTGCTAAATACAAAAAAACCTGCTTGTTTTAAAGGAAATCCAGTAGCTGTTTTAAAATCAGTTTTAACTTTCTGATTTGATTTAAAAGGAGTCTGGCTTCTCCCATTGTTTTAGGGGGAAAGGCAGTAGTAGCTCAGTTTCCACAAAGATGTAGACAGTTTACGAAACTGGTTAAATTAAACAAAAAACCCCATCTCTCCTGAGGAAACGTTGCTCTACTCTTAAAAAGTCTGCGAACCCTCATAGACCATAATGAGCAAACATTTAAAAACCTCTTTTAAAAATAGGTAACTGGTTTAAAAAGAAAACCAAAAATGCATCGGGGTGAGGTAGTAGTCACAGTGCATCCAGAAATGTATCAATGATCAGGGCTGGGGGGAAATACTGGGAGCAGCCGACTGCGGGCAGCTATTGCAAGGTACGAGAACGTGCTCTGAGGAGGATGCATGACGTCATAGTCCAACCTAGCGCTAGGTCACCGGGCAAGAGCGGCCACGGTGAACGCATCAACATCTATAGCCATACTCTGGACACATTCTACTTTAGATACACGTGGAGCTACGCTGTAGGTTTAAGGGCAGTACCCACTTGTACGTGGCATGAACTTGCCCCTCTCTCCCTACCCCTTCAATCCCTACAAGCTTTGACTGAGTTTCCAAAAATTTACTGTGCAAATATTCCCACGCAGCTTCCCCTTTTTACCGACCACAGTCACCTGCCCTGCCAGCGAGCCGGGCGGGCACAGCCCTAACAGTCTCCCTTGCCAAGGACAGAGAAAAAAAGCCCCCCAGCCCAGGTGCTGCGCTCAGAGCTCAACCGCCGAGCACCAGGTTTCTACTCCTGCCTGTGATGGCAGCACACGGCTGCCGGCACAAGGCTAAGAGGGCACCTGTATGAGCTGCCGGCCACCTTCTGTTCCCTCAGCTCCTGTTCCTTCTGGCTAACAGCTTAGCTTGGCACCACCCATCTGTATGCCCCTCTTCTCCGAGCTCTAACTCGGCAGGCAACCCGAGTTTTAAAAGCACTTCGCTCTTCTGTGATCACTGAGAGTCCAACCGGCTCTGTTAGGCATCTGCTAAGTAAGTTTCTGACCCCACCTGGTACCTCTCCAAATGGTAATTTCACCAAGCTCATCGTACCGAGTTCCAGAAGAGTCAAGGCCAGCTGAAGGAACAGGAATGTTTTTTCATGTAAGCACAATTCCTGTTCAATGCTAAGATACCTACAGTATAGCCTCGTGCTGCCAGGGGGGAACCTTTTGAAAAAAAAAAAACAACCAACCAACCCACCCCAAGACGCTGCAGGAAGGGGTGGCTTGTCGAAATGAACGCTGCCTCTGGGACCGGGAATGAGAAAAGGCAACTAATTACATTCAAAAACCTACAGCAACGCTCATGCCTTCCCTTTCCAAAGAGGCTTACTTTTTGCTTCCTAATATACTAGCATGGCAAAAAAAAAATGAAGTGCAGTAGCTAATTCTAGACAGAAGGTCTAAGAATGAAAACATGACAACCTTGGTGCAGTCCAAGAAATTCAGTTGAGCTGGTGGAAGAATTTCATCTAAGTATCAAGTGCATTTTTTTTTGCTGTTCACACTTCAGTTATTGCTCAATAACTATCAAAAAGAACAGAGGAATACTTTCAGTTTAGTTTTATTATATTATAACAGATCTGCAACTACAGCTTATTTCAGCCAAAACATTTTTTGTATTCCAAACTCTTAAAAAATATCTACATTAATCATATTTTTCTATTCTCAAAAATAAAAAAAAAAGATCTACCTAGCATACCAATGCTGCTACAGCACTTGAAAGGGTGCATTACTTATGTAAATTCTACGGTAAAGGTAATTACTCTTGCAGTCATCGTTCTTCCTTCTCTTCTCTGCTGCTTTGGGTTCAGGTTTCAAAAAGTTTGTTAAAAGCTGTTCCAACTTCTGAAACCATGTCAGAGGCAGTCATTGAACGTCCGAATTTTTGAAAGGCTTGGTGGTTAGACTGCCTCGTCAGAGAGCAAGCTCCAACCGCAGCCACTAGAAAGGGATTTTGACTAAAAGGAAAAAAAAAAAAACACACCCAACATCATAAACAAAATCTGAGCACTCCTGTGTAATTCATAAGGTGGTGGACATAATCTTTGTACCCATGGTTGTCAGCACTTTTGGGAAGGCCTCTTAAGCAAACATCTGTGTTTCTCAGGCTCCAGCACCACAGAGTGCCTTTGGTTGAATTTGTGTTTTTTTTTTTTAAACAAACACGTCCCACGGTGCTGCACGTGACTGAGTGAGAAACACCACCCGGGCTGAAGGATGCAGAAGGAAAACATCCTTGAGGGTTGGGTAAGAAGGTGTTCCGCGTCTGGTTTTACTGATGCAAAACTGCATCTGCTCCTCCAGAGGAAGGCTGAGGGCTCACCGGGCAGCCTCTTAACTCCCTCCCCTCCCACAACTGGGTTTAGTTTTGTATTGCAGGGGGTGGGGGAAGGATGGGAGGGTGCGGACGAGATGATTTTTAACAGGCACACAGTCACTGCTCCAGGGCCTTCATTAGATCAGCTTGAAAGGGGTACGGGGACAGCAGCAGACCCCAACAGCAATTTAGGCACGCTCGCTTAATGCCGCCGATGGGCTTAGGGGCTACCTGAGAGCGTGTGCCCAACCCCAGCCCCCGGGGGCTGAGCCGCCCCCGGGGAAGGCAGCGCAGCCCTGCCACCTCCACAGCACCGTCCCACGGGCCGGGCCACGGCGGCTGCTTCTGCTGCCTTACAGCACCAGTGCAGGGGAAGACAACTGCGGAGTAACGCAGCAGCCGGCCCTGGGCGCCAGTTGCTGGCTGGGCTAAAAACCCCACAAAGCTCAGCCACGGCTGGGACGTAGCTGCCTGTAAGTCACTATGGGCCTACTGACTCCTGTGCCAAGTCGAGAGGTTTGTGAAGGATCACGATGTAAAACACAGGCACAGCAGAACCTGAGATTATAATGAGGTGCTACCAGGGCAGCTTTAAGTATCTTTTCTTTGAAAACAGCAGCTTCATATGCTCATCAAGGTGCAGGAGTATTTAAGCCACCTTAAGGGTCGATCCTGGATGCCCAAACGCTGCTCCGAAGCAAGAGCTCAGAGGGCTCAGAGACAGCCAACGCACTTACTTCTAAGGTTACTGCATAAGCCGTTCAACACACACCACACTCCGCAGACCTCACCTTCGCATCCCGTCCGCTTAACAGGAGAATCCTACCTGCACTCCTGAAAGCCAGTGCAACCTTCTTCAAAATCCTGCTCTGCACAGGCCCGTTTTGAAATGACAGAGCCAGGCACGAGCGTGGAAGGACTGGCTGGACTGCCCGCGGTGCAAGCCTACAAGCTGATGCCCCGATTCACTGAACCCAAAAAGCTCCTCCTTTCCCGAAACACACACATGAAACAAGCAGGATTGGTACAGCAGGTGTTTGAGAAGGGTCACCTTAACACCGCCACAGGAGACAGGGTGTATTGCTGATGCCAATTACACTCTCCCACTTTCCCTTCATCTATAAAAAGGTGTTTCTGAGCGAGCTGTTTGGAAAAGCCACAGGAGCCCAAGTCAGGAGAGCCTGGAGAACACGTGCTGTGTTTGCTAATCTCTCCAACAATTTAATACCGATCTTGTTGTACACTGTGCAAAAATGAAATCACCCTTCTAATGAAGTAAAACAAAACTCCTCCTTTAGGGGCAGCTACAACTTCAGATACACAACCAATCTTGGTTTCGTTTTTTCATTCTGGGTGTGTTAGACTTCAGAATTTTCAAGTCTGGTTCAACTGGTCACTCGTTGCTCCTCGGGGACGCAGGGCAGTGCTCCCTCACAGTAAGGCAAGCACAGGCTAGTTAACCCCCGTGGACACCTAACTGTGCATACCTGCACGCAGACACTACAAAAGATCTCCATTCCTCAAGCTCATTACTTACTGGGAAGTGGGACCTGTTATTCCCTAACTGCTTGTGTCAGGGTTCCTTGCAACTGTATTTAAAGCAGCTCCTTTCACAGAAAGGCTACATGGACCAACTAGTCGGACAGGAATTGGCATAATTTTTAACAGAAGAGCCAACAGCCAGCTGCAGCTGCATGTTTGCTTTATGTACGACCAAACTGGACTGCCCTTTGGCCTTATAATGGGTACCCTCTTTGAAACTGTATTTTATTTGCACATTTCAACTTACCTGCTCCGCTGAAATTACTCGGGTACAACGCAAGAGGATTCACCAAATTACAAAACCAAAGCTAAATGACGTGTTTTTTGAATTACAGAGATGTTACTGCCAGTGACCACCACAATTTTATTCTTCATACTTTCTGCCTACGTTATATTGTTTTGAAAACACATACCCCATGTCCTTGAGAATCGATCCAAGTTCACACTCTTCTTCTGCTTCAAACTTGGGAGATGTTAGATCAGCAAAGAGTTTGCCGTATTAAAATTGTAACTATTATGTAGACTGCTCTAGAACACCTCACATTTTTTTTTAAAGTACACGAATACCCCAGTCCCAACAACTCCGATTTCATTTGGAAATTTCTTTAGCAGGTCTACAACAGCTGCCATAGGAGAACACAGACTGGCAAGAATTAAAAGTTATGAATTAATTTTCATACCCATTTGTTTTTTCTGCTCCAGCAAGAAATGCCCAGTGCGCTAAGACTCCAAGAGAACCAGAAAGGAGGTCCCCCTGTCCACCACATCTCCGGCTGCTTCCTTCGTGACTGCACACAAGTACTACGAACAGACAAACCAAAAACAGTCATGTGCATTTTTTCCTTCTATTTACAATGGTATCACTGCAGCTGTGAGGGTTAACCCCTGAGGCACACAGCGATTAACAGATGAGAGATTAATCACAGGCAGCAGCATATGCTGAAATACTCTGTTCTTAAAAAAATAAAATTATTGCATTCATATTTTTGAAATACTTTTCTAGTTACTTTTCAACCTTTTACAAATAACACCACGCAACGTATATACACTTTCTCCCCTTCACTCAGCCTCCACAGCAGATTCAGTCACCTCTGAGTTTAGTGACTCATGTGAACTGATGCTGCCATGATGAGCAATCACCCCAAAATGGACCAGGTCCCTCCACGAAGCCATTGCACAAACGCAGCTCTCCAGAGTCTCTGACCTTCGGGAGTTTATGAAGGTAACACCAAGGTGTTTTACAGCGAGCAAATGCAAAATAGAACTAAAAACTCAAACCTTCTGCCATGCCCCGGTTATTTTACTGAAAGCAGCCTTTTCCTTAGGCTTTGTAAAAACCGTACACAACCAGAGATCTCTTTTTCTGCCAACCAACAGTGTCCTCAGTATCCGTGTATGTTTCTGTCAGCAGTGTCACTGTGGGTAGGCTCTGTCAGGATATCAGATGTTACATTGCTATTTTAAATATACAAAGGACCTTGGTCAAACCGATCTCTTTGTGAAGCTTTAAATATGAAGAACACGCAAATGGTTTCACTAAATTTAACTCCTTTGTTCTCCACTCTCAACAAGCCCAAGCAGGAAGCCTGGAGGATACACAAGGCACACAAAAAGAAAAGAGCATCCATTCTGCTGCCCTTCTCCAAACTCTCTTGTGGGCATGTATCTATCCTTAGCTTTCCTTCTTGCTAGGCTCTGAAAAAAAAAACAAAACCCAGGAGAACTTTATTTTCCCCTCCCAGGAGAAGGGAAGAGCTGGCAGAATCATCGGTGGCCAAGCAGCGATCCTTGGCCTCTCCGGTCAGCTACTGCGGAGCTGCTCGGGTTCAGGACTAGGCACACAACTCTTTGTGCGCTCCCCAGTACGCCACGTACACGAGCCAAGTATAAAGCAAGGCATTGCTTGGGTAACAGCTCTTGCCTCCATCTTCTCAAGCCGCCGGGGTTGCGTTTCTCCACGGTCTATGAACAGAGCAGCCCAGGTGTTTTATGAGAGACTACTACCCATATTTTTAAAAGGAATTTTTCTCTCACAAAATAATGGGGAAAATCTGCACAAAACTGAAGGACTTGCAGGTAAATCTTCTTAAATAGCAAGAGGTAAAAAAACCACTTAACACAAGTAAACCCTTTCTAGTTCATTAGCGTAGTTTATCTCTGCTTCTTCTTACTCGGTGCAGCAAAGAATTGTACTTCACTTCCATTTCCTACCGATTCCTCCAGCAATAATTGCTGGGCTCGTGAGGCCAGGCAGTTGTGCATTTTTGCTGCCACGGAGAGGGCAAAGATTCATTAGTCACCATGAACACAGCAGACACCGCTGCAGCGTTGCCAGCAGTTAATTTTCCCAATCACTCTCCTCCCCTCCCCCATCCACCCCAAATTAAGATTCTGGATGCGTTTCTCAGTGAGCAGTAGTTAACGTCAAA